ATATAAAGTGATTGATAAAATGGTTGATTACAAGATAGCTATGGAAAAGATAGTTTTTATAAAAGGAAAAAGGTGATGATATAGCGAATAAAGATGGGAACGGATGTGTATTACAAGATTAATCATTAGATTAGAATTAATTTGGTTTGTAAGATAGGAGGTGCTTAGATGACATATCAGATTAGCATAAAAATTCGTTAACACATTACCATTTATGAATCATTAAGGAATTTGATTTATAATTATATGGAATAAATGATTAACATGATTTGCTAAAAATATAAATAATTTAATTTAGTTTCGGGTTTTCGACAGACCGGTTAATATCGCTTCATTTGTTAATATTTTATAAAATTCTTAAAAACAATAATAACCAACAACAGTCGTAATTTTATTAGGGTCAATCTTCAGCATCAGAAAGCATTAAATCTTCCAGAACATCTTCGTCACCTTCATTAATCAAATTACTTCTCTCAGGTTTCTGCATTGTTCGCCTTACATTGTTCATTTTAATCTGGAAAAAAATGTACGTACGACAATGTTTAACATCATTAACAGTAATAAAGGAAAGACAAGTGCAAAAACCAAGAAATTTTCAAATTTAAAAGTGAATCACTTCTTTTGAACAATAAGATTTAGTTAATGATCCATGCTATAATTTCGAAATTTCGCTTTTGGTTGTTTGTAAATCAATTTACTCCTACTTTATCAGCTTTCGTCACAACTGCTATTTTCATTTTCATTGCCGGCGTGGTATCCTGTTCAGGATTTGAGTGAGATGGCTGCTGCACACGTTTTGTCTGTAAAAAATCGAGTTTTCGTGAACTGTTCAGATTTAATTAACTTTCAATTAATATTCCATTCACAATTCCTTTACTAATTTAGATTTTATTTTCAGAACATAATGCAAACCACAAAAATAAAATTTCTGTTCTTTCATACAAATGAAATAACACTTTCGCCATGAAATGGGTAAAGCAATAAAACTGACATCCATCAGATTTTTTGCATCCTCTTTCAGCTTCCACATCTTTTGCCATGAATCATAAAATTTTGTTAACGGAGCATCTGCAGCTTGGAAGCGTCTCTCCAAGTGTTTCTGTAACAAATGTTCTACAACAAATACGATCATCTATTTTACTACAATAATTTAGTGTTTGAAAAGCAAGAGGAAAAAACGTAATGTTCTCTCTAACGAATAATAGGGTGTTGTAATGGTTAGATTATATATAAACATACAACTAATGATTCATTGGTTAAATCTACATCGGTACTGTTCAAAATCCCTCTTGCATAAGCAGTCTGCTCCTGTAACTTTGTTTCCAACGATTTGAAAAGTCGCGAAAACTCTGTATTACGACAATTTTTGACGAATACTTTGATCTGAAAAAAAAAAAGAAAAACTAAAATAGGAAAAATGACCAGAGAGAACAATAAGCAACAAACTAGACTATTGTGTACGTTTTAGGGTACCGGGAAATATTTCTGTTTTTCCTGTAAGCTTAAAAGTTAGTGAATTTCCTCTTGTACCGAGTGTCAGTCGTTTCATGTCTTTATCTCTTTAACATACCCACAGGTCTAACCATAGCAGCGATTTGTTCCATTTCATATAAATATAACTAAACCTCATGATTTATGGGAATAACAATGTCCGCGAAAGCAAAACTATGTTGCACGATGTGAGCTGCTTCAAGATGTATTCTAAATAATTCTTCTAAAGCTGCTTCACGAAATCCAGCATCATCAATATGTGCTGCGGAAACCTGAAAAATACATGGGTTATTAACAAGGTTTTTTTTCAGTCAACAACTAATAAATTTTAAATTGTGATGACAGAGAACACACTTATTAATCATCTTTATGATATATAAATGTTCGATTTAAAACAATGGACGGAAAAATAAATTTTACAGTCCTTTGTGAGAAGGAGAAAACTCAAATCAAAGTTTCAACTGAACTTGGAAGTCGTTAGAATTAATTAAAATATTTACAAAATTCTAACTGCACTCTAATCCACATTAAAATACAAAGTAAACGCGAAACAAAATCATACCTTAAGCGTACATCTCATATCGATGTTTTTCTGCATTTCTTTTCCTTTGATAGGTTTCTTCTTCAGCATTAGAAGTGCGTCAGACAGTAACTAAAATTATTCACTCATTATCATCATATTCAAGAAACAACCAAAAACAATTTTTTGTCGATTTAGATAGTCATTTCGAAAAACCGTTTACTAAGTTAAAGAGCCATTTATGTCTTCAACATCTGGAAATAATTCCTTGGCTATAATTTATGTATTTTTTAAATCCGACATACTTTATGATCTCCTGAATCTTTATGTTATCGTCATCAATAAGTCATGAAGAATAGCAACAATAGTCAAAATTGCCAAAATCAGTAAAGACATTTTAAAGCATCACAAAAACTGATAAAGCCAATTGGAGCATTAATGAAAGATGTCAAAGCAAAGATGACACTCAAAAACACAATTTGGTAAACATAGTACCATAGTATCACTGAGCCACTAGGATTAATAAATAAACCAACTTGATGACTTTTAGCAAACGATCAAAGCCAAATGTCACCAATTAAGCTTTTTCATTTCTCAAAAAGTCTAACATTCCATTCAATCACAGCACAAAAGTAGCTCAAGTGAATAATGAAAAAAAAAAAAAAGAACCTCAACAGCCAGTGATAAAGTTGGAATATAAGTGTGACAATTCTGTTGTATAATGAGTAGTATTCGGAGGCAGTGCAGTCGTAGTGGGAAATATTTCAACGATGGAAAAAGTCTAGAAAGAATGTTCATGCAATGAAAAAGATTTAATCAGTTTTTCCATTTTCAATTTAGAATTGTCTGTCCTGAAACTACTGTTAATAGTTTTGACGAAAGCTACGCGAACATAATACATGCCTCAACTAGTTAAAACGGAATAGTGAATAATTAGGTGATGCTCTGGTTTGACTTCAAATCTAGAAAATATTAATAAAAACATTAAAGATATATACTTCATTGTGGAGATCGCAATCTGACATAATGGATAATCAAGTTCCTTGATTCCAGCAGCATCCTCCTTTTTGTTGGAAATATGACTATGAGCTTTAGCAATTACATGACTCCACAAATATAAGCACTGCATGAATTGCCAATTGTAAACAGTTTGAATAAGGTCCTAAAACAAGAACTTGTTGCAATAGTTAAATTGAAAAGTGAAATCAAAAAAAGTTTCCTAGCATGTTGACATTACTTTATCTTCAGCTAAGTTTATATTTCTAGTCGATTCATTCAGTAATTTATTATAACCTTCTACTCCAGTTTATAAAGAATACGATTTGAGTGTCATCACTTTACAGCCCTAACTGTAAAAATAATTATTAATTTAGCCCATAAACTAAATAAGTAACCTTTCGTTTAGCTATCATTGCATTCCTCAGATGTATTGCCATTTGCCTTATATACACAAATGTATATTGATATGCTATTTCTGGATATGTCATGCATAGTTCGGCAAAAGATTTTTGCATAAGTATAATCAGAAACCATGATTCTGCTTTTACATCTCGAACATTCATTACATATTCCAAATAACATCGCTAAAGAAAACTTTGCAATAAAAATATTGTAAAATTTGATTTCCAATGCATCGTGTATTTTTTACAAAACCTAGAAAACTCTATTCTTATTAATATTCAAAATAACATATAAATATATTATGCGCCACTTTAAAAACTTCCTTCAAAAATCTACTGCTTACGTTACTTGCAACCAAACCGTCAGAGAACACGAATGAATTGAATAATCCGCCATGCATGATTTAAAACTAATTAACAATTTCTAACCTTGATTATTGTAGGAAAACTATCTTTATGTATCCTGATCAGTTTAGACAGGGCTAAGAAAGCTGCAATACGACATTCGTCCGTACGACGGCTCCAAATTTTAATTATTGCCTGAAGATCAATTAATGTTCTTAATCGAATATCATTCTTCAAATACAACTACAAAAAGGAGAATAAAAGATATATAAAAACGAATGAAGAGTCAAATTCAACTTGAAATTTGCATAGATAACCAAATCCTAATATCCTGCGATCATGCAATCTGATAAACTCCAACTGACCTTTGCAAGACTTCGAGTAAGCTTCGGGAAATGAATGTATAATTCGAGCAAGTCAGTGACTGCACGCAATGTACATACAGTGACACCTGATGTCTGGATTTCGTTCAAAAACTATAATTCATAAAATAGAAGTACAGATAGCAAATTTTAAAGAATGAAGATTCCTGATTCACTAGTGCAGATCAATAATCTACCTTAGATCTGTTATCAAAATTTCATTGTCGTTTGATCATAGATTAGTGTAAGTAAGGAGTGTCAAGCAATATTTCATTTTGATATATCTTAATGTATTCCATCTATAATCCTTATGATAGATAAAAGGATACGTCATAGAAGTTAATACTGAAAAACTTGTGGAAATTTCTCATCAATAAATCTATTATTGCTATTATATCACTGTGATGCCAATGTATAAACGCATCGGTGCAACTGTCATAGTTGTGTTTTAACAAACAATTACATAATAGCAATAGCAAATTTGTAATACTTTACAGTGTTAATTTTATGGCTTCTCTGCAGCGACCTTCAAGTCGTGAATAAAAAAATAAATTACCTGTAAGAGAGCATGAAGATAGCTTTTTATTAAATTACCATGCTTTTTCCAACATCGGTATTGTTTTTTCGTATATTTTCTAGCTTTTTTGAATTTTGAATCTGATTCATCATCTGCTTTGGACTTGATATAATCCATTAATGTAAGCAAAGATTTGCCTAGATATGTGAAGCACAATCGTACAACTCTTTCAAACACGTTACTATCATTAATCACATAACATGGTGGTTCAATATCGGCACCAACACGTGCCACACATGCTGTAAATGCAGCAACCATCTGATGAATTACTGGAAGTTCTAACCGCTCCTTTAAAAAATGATGTAATTACACTACTTTTTTTAAAAAGTATCTTTCAACAAATAAATGAATTTCAATAATATGTGCAGCTTCATCCGAGAACAATTATGAAAATGCACTACAACGAACACGCGATCTCCATTCAATTTTTTAAACATATCAAAAAATTGTTCTGTTTATGATTCTTCAAATAGTTACGAATAATGTGCAGGAATAAATTACGTATTTAAAAAGAAACCTTTTGCAAAAATGAATTTTGTAAATTAGTTACAAAATCCATATCGATTACTTTCCGCCCTGTTGAATCCCTGTTTAGGCTTTCGTTCTCTTCAGATTTTTTACTTTCGTTATCAGCTCTTTCATGATGTGGATCTACAAAAATGACAGTTGTTTTTCATTTTTTTCGATCGCAGTTAGAGCATGAAATAGATTCAAACGCTGCCAGCAATTAAAAAACAGACTAGCTTTAAGGGAAGCAATAAAAATTGGGAGTAGTAAGTTTCTTTTGACAAGTTTATATAAACCGCCATACATCTCGAATGCACATGAGGATGAGTTCACAACTTTTGACAAGCTTTATAAAAATTATTAGAAAAGACAAATGTTCAATATATTCTGCAAAAACTACCTTCTTCCACATCTGAATCCGACTCATCAAAATGTAATAAGTCAGATTCCTGTTCTTTAAGAAATTTGTAAAATTTTGGATCTTTATCAGCAAGTTCGATTAGTTGCTTTTTGTAGCTGGATAGTGTTAAATCTGTAGCTGCAAATAATAAAAGTTGGATTTGTATCTGCAAACAATAACTCAAACTTCTGTATTTGCAGAAAGTGGAAACAGCATTGACTTATACAGGAAGTTTATATTTGGAATTGCGAAAAAAATAATAATACTTAATTATACTGCACATGTGGACTTTCACAAAATAATAATAATGCTCTACACGAAATAATAACACTATTATAATTAGTGCAGAAAAACACTTGAAATATCACAAATTTACCGTCAAACGTTGATTCCTCATCCATCTCCTTATTTACCAACTTCTTTCTACGTTTTGAACACGTCTGAAGCGTAGCGTTTCTTCCCCTCTTTTGTGTTTTCGCATTTCTTCGACCGATATCACTCACGTTAGTCATTATATCTAATAATTACATTTAATAAACGTTTCAAGTCAATATTTTCCTCATGATATATGAAATGCTAACAGATATCAGTAACAGCTCACACAATCACGTTTCATCTGAAAAGTTTAAACTGCTCCACAACCACGTTTCACGTCTGAAAAGTTTAAACCACGCATTGAAAACTTTCCTGCTGCCCGCGTCGCTTTTTCCCAATTATTTCTCAATTATTTCTCAAGTCATATCGGTACACGATGTCACGTAATTGCTGTGTTATTTTTCTGATTGGGTAAGTGAATTACGTTGGTTCTTTCCGGGATGAAATTATGTCCGGAAATGCTAACAAAACCTTCTTGCCTAACGTACTCTCATCTTAACTTAGTCTTATCATTATATATCTATCATTAAAATATTCGAGTGTTGTATAATGTGTACTTTGTCATCTGCACATTGTCAAACTTAAGTCTTTCTCACCCCGAATGCACCTTATCTTTACACTTCCGGACGTGTTGATGAAGCAATAATCCTGTAGACATATTGGAATGAATTATGGTACTTCAAATAGACGTACAAGATGACTGTATAATGATCACTATCGATAATGCAGGAATCAGGAATGAAAATTACCTTACAGTTGCAGTTGATATAAAAGCATCCCTTACTTAGGATTGATTTGAATCTCGATCTTCTTGATGCAAGATAATTTCGCCAGCTGCTGGGTTTCTTTATGCTATTTTAATAAATTTATGAGAAAAACGCGATATTTGCAATGGAATATAAAATAAAATTAAAAATATTATTTTGCAATTATGTAAATGAGATTGGATGTATAAAGTATATTAAAATGTATGGATAGCTCATTACTGTATGGTTATTTCATAGAGATTTATGGCCGTTTCTGTTAAGTTGGTCTTATCATAAGATATTCGTTTTCGAATATTGTATAATCTCAGTTATCACTTATAATTACATCAGGAATGTGTAAATAAGTGTATATGTGATACATAACACATTTTTTGTGATGTCTAATAGATTGCTATATTGAACATTTGAATAAAATAATAGATGGTTTATACACACACATACACAGAAAAAAATATATTTTAATAATCGATAAAGAATATTCCGAATTTTAGAACTGCTTCCCTGGATCGTAGTTATCATTCCAATACGACATACAATCATAATCGTGATGTGATATCTATACCTGCATTGGAAGAAGGTATGTACGCGGAATTGGAAAAAGGGAAACATAAGTAAGTCATAAGAAATAATATTTACATAGGTTGATGATAGTAATAATCCATCAGCAATGAGGAAGGATATAGAAAAAAAGTTGGTAGCTGATGTTACGAGATAATATAATTGAATTATGATTGTATTAAATTGTTGGAGTTGTGTTACTTTTCTAATAGTTTTAGATGATATGATATGATAACATTCAACTATTTTATCGCTAAATTTGTAAAAATTATCATTAAATACCATAAATAGAGTGTAAGATTTTGATAAAGAAGACATTTCAGAAAAAATACTTTTTTTTACGCTTTTTTTTCAAACAGTTTTGTAAAGTTTGCACGTGAAAAAAAGCAACAAGATCTTGCACGAGTTAAACTTTTACTTTGTAACAATAGCAAACGATTGGTGGAATGGATCATCAAAAGTAGTAACGATAATATACAGGTAAAGAAATATTGAAAATGGAAGAAAAACTTTAATTTTCCCTGATTTACGTAGGTAAAATGGACAGTCTGTTTTACGTCATTCACACTAACCAATTAAGAGTATGCGCAATATCGCCATATTTTTGTTTGTGATTTGATGAAAAGTCATATCATTTGAAATGATGTTTTTAGTCTGATTTTATATATTTTTATACTTCGGTACATTTTCTTGCATGACATAAATATCATGCAAGAAAATGGTTACTGCACTTTTTGAAAATGAAGTTTCAACCAAAATAGGTGTTGTCTGTCCTTAGAGGTTGAAGTTAGTCATTTTAATCATTATAACACTTCGCTATAATGGATAATATGAAAAAATATTAATTACAGTTTTAACGATCAATACATATTTGTAGTCCTAAATGCATATGCACACAGCATATATGCTATCTTTTCTAAATATTAAATATTTTTTATATGATATACATCATTATGTGCAAATTTTTCGCATTCTAATACCACATTTTATGTGTTATTTTTTACTAAATTGATTCCGATCAGAAAATGAAATTTATAAGGAATTAGGATGCTTATCAAATATCACATCATCAGGCAGTTTCAAAAGCATCCGGACTGATTAAAGCATTTGATACGGAAGAGTGTATTCTAATTTGGCAACGTCCTAAAGATTACAATTCTTGGCGTGAATTACCTCCATTGAAAATAATGCTAGAATTTAAATTAATAGCTAGTGAAAGTGGAAAAGTTATCGGAAAAGCTAATAGTAAATTTCGAGGTATCATGCAATTTATCTTTGCCTCTTTTACAGACAAAATGTTAACTATATTTTACTGACGTACATTTGAATTAAATTCAAAATTAATGGTCAGATACGATCTTCTATCAATATTCAAAATAATTCAGGATCAAAAAATCGGATAAGAGGAGAATTACTTTCAGATTTGTACCGCACTAATTAATAACTGTTGTAGCGGGTGTTGATCCAGATGCAGTATGTACAGCTGACGAACCACCAATTCATAAAGTAGTATTGAACTCGGAACCAGCTACTATGATATTACGAAAAGAGAAACCAAAGTAAAAGTTTTTTTCATCACTTAGGTCAATAATTTCTAATTCCTTTGCTTTTACGCTATAATTTCTTCGTCCTTTCACAGTGTCACCATTTGATCCATACCAGTTGTTTGCACGAACAAAAAGATAACTCACGTATATGTGCTGCATGAAGAAAGCTGTATGATTGAATTCAGTTTGAATTTTGTAACATTTATTTTTGCAGGAAAAAAACTGATGCTAATATAGACATACAGACAAAAATGGAAAATAAAAATATTCTTGAGGATTCACAAAAGACATATTGGATTTTTGTACTGTTATTTTGTGTACTGATCGCTTGTCTCCTGAAGATTCTCTCTCATTGATCCGAATGCTTCAATCACTATCACTACTGTAAACTTCTGATCTTGAAATGTCTAATTTCCGTCAAATGAACTGATTATTCATTGCAGTGCACTTTACGCCATCGTAATTAAGAGGAAAAAAATCGTAATTGCAATCTAAAATTTAGATTTTAGTTTAATATGTTAAAAATTTTCATATAAATAGAATTTCCAAATGTTTAATGATATGAAAAGTCTTTTAAAAATTCAAATAATTGAAAGTTTGAACTATTTTCAACGAATGCAATATAACCTAATGATAATGAATAATACCATGCATTCATTATGTGAACTATTATGACAGTTATGAATTGTGCATGGTTTATTTCCAACAAGTCAGTTCCATCCTGCTTCAATAATTTTATTGGAAATTTTGATAGATTTGACTCTTGCAAACTTTTTAATTAAATAATTAATTCTTGGACAAGAATCAACAATGGAATCTGATGTTAAAAATTTACCATCTTAAGTAGTTTATAGAAATGTATATATAATACTCAACAGTTACCATTACATATATGATTATGTGAAGTTCTTTGAAATTGCTTCGAAAAATAGGAGTTAAACTTATTAAATCTTGATAACTAACTCAATTATTACTTGTGAGGAGTTAAACTTATTGAATTTTGACAACTGTACTCATTTACTATCTGGTGCTTTTGTGCTTTTTGATATCAGCTCGAGCAGATGATGAAAAGATCTTTAGCGTGAAACAGACTTTTTAAAATTTTATTCAAAATTACAAGGAATAATCTATTATAACTGATTTCAAGAAATCAACAAATATAAATACTAAAGCCAACGAGTAATTTTCCAGTTTTCCGATGTAATTAAAGGAGCAAAAATGATAGCAATTGTGTAAATGTTAATGAATAGCTGGAAAAACTAAGAAACAAAATTTTCCAAACATTTTCAACATGCCATGAAATTAAAAATTTAAGTAGGTTTATAATTTTTCATTTCTAAAAAATTTCCATTTGTGAGAAAGCCTAATTTCCTTCATTCATTTTCGACTGTATTTTTTTATTACATTACATTTGAATGGAATTTCTACTGTACAAAACTGGAATTTATCAGTGAAATGGATGAATCAATAAATCAGGCAATGCACACTTACGTGGAGAATAAATAAAAGAATCGCTAGCGTATAACGGTTATTTATGGCAGGAAACACGTGATATAGGATAATTATCACGGTGATATATACTTATAAAGTACATAACCACTTTATCCATGCTAATTATTATTTATTGAAAAGGTGAGACAACGGTTGGTTGCATGACGTTTTTGTACAATGGCGACGATAGCTTTGAAGTAAGGATTTCAATAGTGTTAACTAAATTGAATTTCAAATTTTAATTATCATTTAATAATTATCCAGCAGTATTTTATTTGTTGATGAAGATCCAAAGTTCAATTAAAACGAGGAAATGTTGAGGCTCAATTTAGAATGGATGAAAGATAATACAATTAGAACTGAAACATCGTTCGGAAAATAGTTTCAAAGATACGAAAACTAACAACCGATAATATTTTATCGCACTGTAAATTAGAAAAAAAAAACAAATCTGATCGATGCAAACTAACATATACTTTATCTGAATTAATGAAAACTGTTTAATGCTCACTTTTAACCGATCGAAAAATTTCGATTGATTTCAGAAACATTGACAAAGTGCGACCACAGTCTAAATCTAAAATAAAACAAAGCAAAAAACCACTGAGCAGGAGGTTATTGCTCTCTTATCCATTCTTAAAAAGTTACTAAACAAAAAAAGCAATTTATCAATTGTTTTAAAATTGTAGTGCTCTGCAAAAATTCTCAACTTTGGTATGTGGTAAAAGTATCTATCAAATACAAATCAAAATTATCCTGTTAATTCAATAAGTCTAACTAATAATTAGTAAAAAAAAATCCAAATGTTCATTAATACATTTTTTCCTTCATGTTACCTTCAGTATCCTGAAATTTGCGATAGAAAAAGGACAACCGGATGTGGCACGTGTGAAACTTTTATTATGCAACAATAGCAATCGTCAAGTACAATGGATATTAAAATATATCGA